AGCAAATGATAAATATATACTTGATATATTTTCTTCCCTCAGCTTCTTTAAAAGACATTAAGATTGTAAAAATTATAATCACAACAGTGTATTATTGGGTTTATTGCGTTTATAGACCCATAACAATAATGCCACAAAAAAGTGGGGCAGAATGGAGATAGATAGAAGTAACCTTTCTCTGTTTCAACGGAATTAAAGTTAGTATAGAGGTAAACTAAATTTTGATATTTTAAAGTGCATATTGTAATCCCTAAGACAACCACTAAGAAAACCATTCTAAATGTAATTAAAAACTTGTTAAATGAATCAATAGTTTTAAAATTAATTTCAGAGAGGAAGGGAGAGGGAGAGAGAGAGAAACATCAATGATGAAAAAGAATCACTGATTGGCTGCCTCCTGCATGCCCCCTGCTGTGGATCAAGCCCACAACCCGGGCATGTGCCCTGACCAGGAATCGAAGCATGACCTCCTAGTTCATAGGTTGATGCTCAACCACTGAGTCACATGGATCAGGAAAATAAATCAAATTTTTACACTAGAAAATATGTACTGAATATAAAAGAAGGCAGTAAAGAAGGAGCAGCAATCAGGGCTCAGCCACAACAAGACTGTGCACCCAGCCCACACAGGGGCGCACTTAGAGTGCCCAGCCCGGGTGACTGGGGAGGCTGAGCCACAGGGCCCTACGGAACGCCTGCTGCACAAGGTCACTCTGCCAATTCCAGGAGACATAGCAGCTCTACCCGATACATAGAAACAAACACAGGGAAGCAGCCAAAATGCAGAGACAAAGAAACAGGTCACAAATGAAAGAAATGGAAGCTACACACTAGCATCTGAAATTAAGTTTTAGAGAAAGCTACGTGAGGTGATAGGTAGGTTAACTAACTTGACTGTGGAAATCATGTCACAATGTAGATGTATATCAAACCATCACATTGTACACTTAAATAGGTATAACTTATTTGTCAATTGTAACTCAACTAGAGGCCCAGTGCACGAGTTCATGCACGGGTGGGGTCCGGCCGGCCCAGTTCCAATTGGGGTGATTGGGGCTGGGCCTGTCAGGAGGAGGAGATGGTGGGAGGTTGGCTGGCTGGCCCCACCCCCTATTGGGGGAGGGGGATAATCAGGAGTGGGGCCAGTGGGGGGTGTAAAGGCTGCAGGGGGGTTGGCCGGCCATCCTGCCCTCGATTGGGGTGAGAGAGAACAATCAGGGGCGGGGCCGGCCAGGGGGAGGGGCTGCAGGAGGTTGGCTGGTGGGGGGTTGGCTGGCCACAGTGGGTGTCATAGCACCTGGTCATTCTGGGTGTCATGGCATTACAGTTGCTGATTTTTTATATATATAGCTAAAGCTGGAAACCAGAAAACCATTCCATTTACAAAACCATAAAAAAGAATAAACTACTCAGAAATAATTTTAACAAAAGAAGTGTAAGACTGGCGCATAGGCAACTATGGCACGTTATTGAAAGAAATTCAAGATCTGTAAAAGGAAGGGCGCCCCACAGTCATGGATGGATTTAACACTGTCAAGATGTGAATACCCACAATGTGAGCTAGAACAAGCATGTCAAACGCAAAGGCTAACACGGGCCACATAAACAAGGTTTACATTTATGTGGCCGCAAAACACCACAAGCTTCAATTGTCATAGAAACGCAGGTTTATTTCAAAAAGTGTAGTATAAAATAGAACAAGAGCAACGATAAAATTAATGTTTTCTTACATACCGTTATATTGGCTATGCCACAAAAATATTCACTGTAGGCTGCATGCAGCCAGTGGGCTGCGAGTTTGACATGCTTGCTCTAGAGCAGCCGTGGGCAAACTATGGCCCGCGGGCCGGATCCGGCCTGTTCGGCTGTTCTATCCGGCCCGCAGAGCCGAAAGAGCGGAGGGTTCTCTTGCTCTCCCCTCCGCTCCTTCACCAGCAGCAGTGTTAACATGTATTAGTTCACACAAACACTCCATCCATGCTTTTGTTCCGGCCCTCCGGTCCAGTTTAAGAACCCATTGTGGCCCTCGAGTCAAAAAGTTTGCCCACCCCTGCTCTAGAGAGTCAATTAAATTTCCATCGAAATCCAAGATTGCTTTTTGGCAGACAAGTTGATCCTAAAATTCATATGGAAGTGAGAGGGACCTTTGATCAACAAATAGTCTTGAAAAAGAAGAACAAAGTCGGGGGCTCACACATCCTGGCTTCAAAATGTAGTCATTACAAAACTATAGTAATCAAAACAGTATGGTAATGTGATAAGGACAGACATACAGATGAATGGAACAGGTTGAAAAGGGAAATTTATGAACTATAAGTTTTTACAAAGGTGCCAAGACAATGCAACAAATGGTGCTGGAACAACAGGATGCCGTGTAAGAGAATTAAGTTAGACTCTCATTGTGAGAACTAACATTTACTCTAAAACTCTTAGAAGGAAACATAGAAATAAATCTTAATGCCCTTTGGTTAGGCAATGGTTTCTTAGATTTGACCACAAAAGAAAAAGCAACAAAAGAAAAAAAAATAGATAAATTAGATTTTACCAAAATTAAATCCTTTGTGCTTCAAAGGACACTATCAAAAAAGCAAAAGGTGACCCACAGAATGGGTGAAAATATTTGCAGTTTATATATCTGGTAAGGGTCTGGTATCCAAAATATATAAAAAAAACTCTTATAAGTAAAAAAAAAAAAAAAGACAAAAAATTCTTATTGAAAAATAGGCAAAGCATTTAAATAGACATTTCTAAAGAAGATATACAAACAAATGGTCAATAATTACATGAAAAAATAAAAATGCCCAATACTATTAGTCACCACAGAAATACATATCAAAACCATAATAAATGGATGATTATAATAAAAAGACAGACAATAACAAGTGTTGGCAAGGATATGGAAAGTCAGAACACTCATACAGTGTTGGCGGGAATGTAAAATGGTGCAGCCCCTTTGGAAAACAGTTTAACCAGAAGTTAAATATTGAGTTACCATTTAACCCTGCAGTTCCACCCCAACGTATATATCTAAGGGAAATGAAAATATATGCCCATGTAACATGAGTGTTTATAGCTGCATTATTCATTATAGGCACAAGTAGAAGCAACCCAAATGCCCCTCAACAGATGAATAGATAAGCACATGTAGTATATCCATGTAACGGAATATTATTCAGCCACAGAAAAAAATGAGATAAAGATACATGTTAAAACATGAATGAATCCTAAAAAACGTTATGCTAAGCCCTAGCCAGTTTGGTTCAGTGGATAGAGCATTGGCCCGCGGACCAAAGGGTCTCAGGTTCCATTCCGTACCTTGGTTGCAGGCTCCTCCCAGCCCAAGCCCTGGTCAGGGCACGTGCAAGAGGCAACCAATCAATGTGTTTCTCTCACATTGATGTTTTTCTCTGTCTTTCCCTCTCTCTTCCACTCTGTCTAAAACAGCGGTTCTCAACCTGGGGGTCGAACAACCCTTTCACAGGGGTCGCCTAAGACCACCAGAAAACACATATATAATTACATATTGTTTTTGTGATTAATCACTATGCTTTCATTATGTTCAATTTGTAACAATGAAATTGGGGGTCACCACAACATGAGGAACTGTATTAAAGGGTCGCGGCATTAGGAAGGTTGAGAACCACTGCTCTAAAAGATCAATAGGAAAGTATTCTTGGGTGAGGATTAACAACAAAAACAAACAAACAAAAAACACCTCAAAAACAAAAAAAATAAAAAAACATTATGCTAAGTGAACAAAGCAAGCCACAAAAGGCCATATCTTATATGATTCCATTTATAGGGAATGTCCAGAATAGAAATCTATAAAGACATAAAGTTGATTAGTGATTGCTTAGGGGATGGCTGGGTTGGGGTGGGGTGGAGAGTGATTTAATGTGTTTTTTTTTGGGGGGGTGGTGAAAATGTTGTGAACTTAGATTGTGATGAACTTGATAATGAATATACCAAAAACCACCATTTGAATTGGTTAATTTTATGGGATGTGAATTATATTTCAATAAAAATATTTTAACAACTAAAATAAATCCCTAGGACTGATGGGAGAGAGCGGTAATACAGGGGGACCTCCAGGGCATGGCTCCTCGAGACTGGGTCTCTCTAAGCTGGAGGGTGCCTCCTCCAGGCTCAAGCACTAAACCTGGAGTTGAGAGAGAAGCTTTGGGCCTGCACTGGCCTTGCCCCGGAGGAAATCTGGGCCGTGTCTCCTCAGTGCTTCCTCACTTTGGGGTTTTCTCACTGTGAGGCCCCCACGGTAGCAGAGAAGTGCACTCAACACTGAATGGGGTAACTGGTCATCTGAAGAGCACTTTTCCCAACTTTTTTTGCTTCAGTGATCACACTAATCCTGAGAAGAATTCTGTTAATTCCACTTAACGGGGGAAACTGAGGCCCGAGAGGTGAAAAGGGTTGGCCACGGCCAGTCGGCATGTTAGTGGAAGATTTAGTGAGTCCCAGCTAGTGTTCGTTCTACTTCCAATCACTGCTGCACATCTACAAGATGTGTGGTCTGCCTTCTGTGGAGAAAGGGAGCCAGGCCACTCTCGGGTCAGCCCTGTTCGCTCTCAGCAGGGATGAGGGCCGCCACGGCCACTGTGAGGGCCGCAGTGGGTAGGATGTGGCTGTCTCGGCCTGAGACTCAAATGGAGACACCTGTGTCCACCTGCGCATGAGGAGGGGCCATTTCCTGCTTGGTCCAGTGACAGAGGTAAGGGCTCTGGTCTACTTAACGATCTCATCTCAGCCTTCTGTGCTTTTCCAGCAACAAGAGAGTTTGAAAACTTCACTTTGCTAATCTCGGTAAGATCAGAATCATTCGGGCCTCTGCGGACATGGGTAAGTGCCCGCACATCCTGGGCCTTCAGAGCAGACTCTCCCTTAACTGGGAGGCACCGGGAAGCCCCGACGGCTCAGTCCCACGCACATCACATCACCTGGGACTCCCATGTCCCCACCGCTAAGAACAGCCGAAACAATGCTCGTGGGTGTAAGAAATGTTTATTCACATTCCCCTCCGGGTGTGCTTCTTGCACGTGACCTGGCCACCTACCCAGCTCTGCTGCCCGGACTTCGGGAATGGAGTGGGAGCACCGGGTCCGCAGAGGCCGCCTGCATCACGCTGGGCTCATCACCACCCCTCTCACAGGGCAGGTGCAGGGCCCGGCTCCCCCTGGTTTGGGCTCCCATCTAGGCCACCTCCCCATTGGGAACTGGGCACAGTTCCCCTCCCCATACCCACATTGCATGTCATTCACTCTCCTCTGACTGACTCAAATCCTGAAGTCCCTCCTCTTGCAGTTAAAGAAACACCTCCACTACTTCCACCGCGGAGGGCTTGTGGAAATGTTTGTCTTTTTTCCCACTTGGTTTTACACAAGAGGTGAGTTACTGCAGGAAGAGATCCGCTTATTTGGGACACTTGGTGCCAAACTGATCCTAGCTTTGGCTATTTCCATACATTTGCAAACTAATCTGTAAGCAGTGGAGGGGAGGGCGGGGCGGGGGGCGGGGTTGCAAAGCATACAAGAAAGAGCACATCTCTTCTCTGGACCGCAGAGCACGTGGTCCTCGGCAGACTTTGGGGAGCCGTGGCTGCTCACACAGACGAACTCGGAGCCGTTACCTCTCTCTGGGTTGCTCGTTAATTGAGATGGTCCATGAAGAAGAGTGTGTTTGCTCTCCTTGCAGCAATCCCATGGACCCAAGGACACGTTTTAGAAATGAAAGCCGTCCTGCAAATCCTTAACTAAGGATTATCTGGTTAATGTCTTTGCTCCGTCTGGGTTAACTGTCACTTCCATGGCTTGTAGAGAGCTGGCCCCCTACCCATACCCATGTTCCATGCCATTCACTCTCCTCTGACTGACTCAAATCCTGAAGTCCCTCCTCTTGGGGGGAGTACTGCTCCTGCCAGCCCTCCCCTCCCCTTTAAACCTGTCTCTACCCCCTGTTCTGCTGCCGGGCACCTCCGTGTGGCAGAGCCACGTCTCTGTGCTGTGCGCGCGTCTCAGGGCACAGCCTCTGGCCCTTATGTGCAGCGGGCGCGGCCTCCTGCAGCGGCTTTCACTGCGGAAGCTCTCGATGGCTACCGGGATCTTTTTGTTCACACCGTCTACTTGGGGCCTTGGCAAGGTTGGTATGGCGGCCATGCAGAGAGCCCTCAGCGGTGCGCCTGGAGTGAGCACCACCACCTGGCCGGCTGCTTTCCGGAGAGGCTCTGTGACACCCGTGCCCAGCGCCAGCCCAGAGCACAGAGGACACAGGCCGCTGCTGGGCACTGCTCTCTGCCTCCAGGGCCTGTGGCCTGGCCTTCCCTCCCCATCCCCCAATCTCAGTTCAGGGTTGGGGCTCATGGTGCCTTCAACAACTGCCTGTGGACATGGCCAAGTTGCCAGCACATCCTTGGCCTTCAGAGCTGGGTGATGAGTCCGGGGGCTTGCTGAGTGCTGGGCGCTGTGTCCGGCGCAGCAGGAGCCTGGTGGCTTCTCCTGGGGCCGAGGCAGCCTGTGGGAAGCGGGAGTGATGGTCGCTTTGGGAAAAGCACAAGGATTTCCTCACTCCGTGTCCAGGAGGAAGGACCTATGCCAGCATGGCTTCGTTTGCACCCCATCATGTCACTCGATGGCCCAGGGGGGCCAGTGGAGGATGCCTGGTCACCCCTTGAAGAGCCGGCCTACGAAGACCGGGCTCCCCGAGGGCCACGCTGTGAGGGAGCTCCAGGCAGGGCCATCAGTCTGCGCAGACCCTTGTCGAGCGTGTCCCCGGCTGGAGCCCGCAGCTCAGAAGAGGCTGCTGCCCGAGAGAGAAGACAGGAAGGATGGAGCCTGCGGGGGAGGAATGATGGGGGTGGTGTCCGAGCTGGCTTCCTCCGGCTCCGGCTCGCTGTCCTCGCTGTCCAGGCCGGCCGCGAGGGCAGGAATGATCCTGGCTGCACTGTCTTCAAAGCGCACCTGCTTCTTCGGCAGTGAGGCAGCTGGCTCCAGAGTCAGCTCGGTGGGGGCCTCCGGGCGCTGGGAGGCGCTGGGCGTCCTGGTCCCCTTCAGGATGCACCTCATGTGGGCGAGGAGGGAGCCGGGCCCCTGCCTGAGGGCTCCGTGGAAGGTGTAGGTTTGCTCGGTGTCCCCGGAGCCGGTGGTGCTCCTGGCGCTGCTGGAGGGGTCCGTGTACTGCTCCTGGGCGGCCAGCACTGCGGGCGCGGCCCTGCTCTTCTTCCGCTTGCTGAGCAGGAAGTAGGCCAGGCCAGTGAGGACCAGCATGGAGCCTGGAAGAGAGCTGGGCGGTCAGGGTGCTGGAAGTGTCCTCGAGAGAAGCCCGAGGCCGCCCAAGCCCACGGTTCCCAAAGGCCATGGCGCACACCTGTGTGGCCACTCAGGCTGCTGTGCTCCAGCCCTCACACCTCGCTTCCCCTCACACCACAGCAGGCCCGGGGGCGGCCTGATGCCGTGCTGGGGCCCTGCCCCTGCCCGTGAGCTAGGGCACCCTGTGCCCGAGGCTCCCTTCCTAGTGACAGCCCCCCTGGTGCTGCGGGAGCAGCCTCCACCGCCGCACTCAGCCTCTCTCACTACAGCTTATCGGACTGGACCTGCGACCCCGCCAGTGGGTCTGGGTTCTTTGTTGGATACCAAGCCCCACCTGCTGAACTGGACTTCCCATCCCAGAAATGGGAGCCCGCCTTCACTGTAGCCTCCCCAGCAAACAGAAGCAAGTGCAGACTCCTTGGGCAGGGCCGGCGTAGCATCGCCCCTTCCTGGCCCCGCCCAAGGCCTCCAGGCAGAGGACCCTCCGTCCCAGGCTGGGACCTGCTGCTCTGGGTTCCCCGCTGGGACCCCTGCCCTGTGCAGAGCTGGGCCCCTCTTGCTTTCGGGAGGCTGTGGCTTGTTCTAGCTCTGCAGGGCTGTGTCCTGCTCAGGCATCCACGGAGGCCGTGGGGGTGGGGGTTGAGGGGGGCTCTGGGAGTTTTGACAGGGACTGCAGGAAGGAAAGGAGGCTCTGCCTTCAGTCTCGTCTCCCTGGGCGGTTTGCTCTCTGAATTTCAGGTGGGTCACGAGGAGGGTGTTAGCAGAAAAGCCATGAACAGAACCCGGGAGGTGGGAGGTGGGAGACTCCTGCCTTCGCAGCCAGGAGCCGCTGACCCAGGGCCTGAGGAGCAGGACGTGCTGCGGCTGTGAGGGTTTTCGGTCCCTTCCTGCTGTGCTCCCACCTCAGGCCGAGGGGGTGGCCCTGAGTCAGGGCACTGGGAGACATGAAGGGTCTGGGCAGAGAAATGACTGTCACCCTCCGAAAGCTCAGTCCACACAGGCTTCGACAGAAAGGCCACATCCGTTGGGGTGCAGCCTCTGGACGCCTACACGAAGGATGCATTTCCAGCACATTCCTGCCGCTGAATCAGCGCGGAGGGTCTGACAGGCCCTCATCCCCACGGCCTGAGCCAGAGAGGGCAGTGGGCTCGGGGCCCTGGGGCCACATCACTGCAGGCTGAGTGAGGAGGACCCAGCCCTCGAGCTCAGAGCCTCCCTGTGTGGGGTGCCTGCCTCCACTCCCCCTGGAGTCCTACCTGGGATGGTCACGTGCCAGACCAGGACGGGGTGGAGGAAGCAGGCCACGGACAGCAGCAGGTAGGCCAGGAACTTCTGGAAGCAGCCCAGCCAGCGGGCCTTCTCCCTCGCTCTGGCTGCCAGGGACCCTGGCTGACACCTGGGAGGAAGGAGTCGGGGATGAGCAGGGAGCAGGCAGTAACTCGGGAAAGCCCAGCGACTCACGAGGCTGTGGGAGGCTCTGCTGAGGCCATGCTCTCTGCAGACACCCCGTGGGAGTCCTCAGTGAGGGGTCTCGCTGTGCCCCTTCCCCCTCAGGGGTCCGCTGGGGACCCACAGCAAAGCGGAGCGGGCGTGCAGTGTGGGGGACACGGGCGGGCGGTTGTGCGGAGCACGCCCTGCACGAGGGGCCTGGCTGCTTAGGGTCTTGCAGATGACACGGGCCCAGAGGGGCTTCCTGGCGGGCATGCAGAGTCCACACCCGCCTGATTCCTTCAGGGCTGCTGCCTCCAGGTTCAAAGGAGAAAAACACCTGCCCTTGGGCCCAGCTCCTTCGCCCTCTAGACTGACTTGGAGCAGGGATCTCACATCTCTTCCTGGCAGGCTGGCTCTGGGGAGCAGTGGGACTGGCGGATGGTGTGTTGGCCCAGACATGGCCTCTTCCACACCCACTGCCATGGCTCTTTGGTTCCCCCTGGTGGTCATTCTTTTGTGCCCAGGTCCTAGTTGGGGTGGAGCCCTCCAGAACTGGTAAAATGCCCCTGGAGGCCTAGGGCTCCTCCCTCACCTGCCCCCAGAAGTTGCTAGGATCCCTGGGCAGTGGGAGCTACTCACTGGAAGCAGATGGCCAGCAGCTGAGCCACGAAGTAGGCCCCTTCGCACACGGCGACAGTGGCTCCCGTGAACCTGTGTGGAGACAGGTGAGGGAGGCTGGGCCTCCTCCGGCTCTCCCTTCACCTTCCTGCGGTCGTCTTCTCGCCGCACCTTGGCCTCCTGACCAGAAGCTTCTCAACCTCATCCTGTCACCCAGCCAGCGTCCCCCAGGTGGGTCTTGATGGCAGGGCCGGCACGAGGTTGGTCTGTGGTGGTGGGGGGGTTGGGGCCTGGGGCCCACAGATAGGTGAGGAGGGAGCTGCAGGCCAGCAGGAGGGGCCACCTCGACCCAGCACCCATGGGGGACACTGGCAGACATTCTCCCTACTGTCACCAGGACGGACACCCCCTGCCCGACTGAGAGGCTTAAAGCTGCACCCATTCCCGAGCCTTTTCTCCTGCTTTGCTCATCACGCACAAGGTCGCCGGGACGGGCTGACTGTGTCCTGAAGTCGTCTCAGCATCCGTCCCGTTCTCTCTGGCCTCACCCGGAGAGCCTGAGTTTGGGCCTTGCCCCCAGGCACCTGCACCTCTTTCTCCTTTTGGTCTCCCGGCTGCCTGGCCCTCCTCCTCCACGTGGTCACACCAGCTGCCCAAGGGCTCCTTCTGACGCCTGCATCTGATCATACTCTTCCCAGTCTAGGATTCTTCAAAGCCTCCTCATGCTCCAATTGTGGTCCGGAGACCCTCAATCAGAATTTCCTGGGAATATGTAAAGTCATCGATTCCTGGGCCAGGCATCACAATCTTCGGGAATGGGACCCACATTTCTTATTGGAGAGTCTCACTGGCCGATAGGATTGAATTTCCGTAGCACACCTTTTAAAGCCCGTCCACATACTCTGACTACACAGGAAGCTGCTAGGTGCCCCAGGGCCTTTGCACAGGCTGGTAGCCTCTTCCATCCCTCCCTCCCCTGTCTGGTAGCCTCCAATTCTTCCATGCAGCCCGGTCCACTCTGGGAAAGGCTTAGTGTTAAGTGTTCCATGGGCTTCTAGGGAGACTGTGCACAGTGGCTGGGACACTCAGTAGGACCCGGGGAGCCTCCGGAACAGGAGGTCACTCCCAGCCGGTGGGGTCCCGGCATGGGCAGGGGTCTCAGGGCTGGAGGCCAGGAAGGAACCTGGGACTCAGGTGAAGTGGGTGGAAAGGCACTCTGGGTACCTGACAGGATGAGCAAAGGCTCAGAGGTGAGGTGGGTGAGTTTGGGAAAGAAAACCGCTTGGGGTGTAAACCCAGTGACTAGAAATAAGGTGGAGGTGAGGGATGACACACATGGCCTGGAGGCTGTGGCAGCCATGAAAGTTGCCAAAGGGACCTGTGTGTCCAGGCTGCTGACATGCGGCAGTGTGCACATGCACTGCGGGGTCGGAGCCTGGCTGGGAGATGGTGGACGTGACCCACCTCGCACATTGGAGAGCTTGTCTGAGGCAGGGGGGCTCCTTAGGATGCCGACATGGAAGGGAGAGTGGGGGCAGAAGAGGCGTCCTGCTGACTCCACAGGTCCAGCTCCTGTCAAGAGGGGCTGCTGGGAGCTGGTGGTCAGAGCTGCAGGGGTGCCAGGCTTCCCTCTCCCTTGGGGACTCACTGCACAGTGCTCCCCCTGCCAGGGGCATTTGAAGGGACAACGGGCAGAGAAGAAAGGATAGAGGCTGCTCATGAGCTTGGTGATGTGGCTAAGCTGCTCATGCCCACTGAATTTCTCATCTGCAAAACCAGGACACTGGTTGCTCTCCAGGACTGCCTGAGCTAAAGGACACCGTGTACAGAAAACCTTTAGCTGCTTGGCAAGAAGGTGGCGCAAGTGTATAGTCCTCTGAGACCCCTCTCTCTAAAACAAGAGCTCCCTAAAAAATTCCTGAAGAGATGAATGGGTGGATAGGCGGCCATGGGAATAGACGGATGGATGAATATGGATGGATAGATGGGTGGGTGGATGTGTGTGTGGATGGATGAATGGATGGGTGGGTGGATGAGTGGATGGGTGTGTGGATGAATGGATGGGTGGGTGGATGAGTGGCTGGGTGGGTGGATGGGTGGATGGGTGGGTGGGTGGATGAGTGGATGGGTGGGTGGGTGGATGAGTGGATGGGTGGGTGGGTGGGTGGGTGGATGGGTGGGTGGGTGGATGAGTGGATGGGTGGGTGGATGGGTGGATGGGTGGGTGGGTGGATGAGTGGATGGGTGGGTGGGTGGATGAGTGGATGGGTGGGTGGATGGATGGGTGGATGGGTGGGTGGGTGGATGAGTGGATGGGTGGGTGGATGGATGGATGGGTGGGTGGGTGGATGAGTGGATGGGTGGGTGGGTGGATGAGTGGATGGGTGGGTGGGTGGATGAGTGGATGGGTGGGTGGGTGGGAGGGTAATTGGTTGGTTGATGGGATGGGTTGATTACAGCCCTTTCCAAAGCAGAGGATACTCTAAGGCGGCTCTAGCCCTTCCACCTCTGGGACAGGATGGACTCAGGAGGAGAGGGCAGGCTGCTCCGTGTTTATCGGAGGAGAAAGCAGAACACGCCCCGGGGAGAGCACGTGCGTACTCACAGCAGGTAGAAGGCCAGGCTCTTGAAGTGCCCCTGGAGGAAGGTCTCGGTGCCCACGCCGATCAACACTGAGAGGGGAGAGGGGGGGACAGTGGCCCAGCTGCTCCTGCCACAGCCCTGCCCTGAGCAGGGCGCCATGGCCAGGAGCCAGGCTGTCCCTGGGACCGAGAGCCGGGGAGGCTCTTCCCATGCGGCACAGAGACAGGCAGCTGGGAAGATGGAGAGAGCAGGAGCCTCCTGACCCATCTTGGAAACCAGGGTGGCTTCAGGCAGAGCCCCAGAAGTGTGCAGTGCAGTCTCCCCAGAGCACAGACGCCACCCACCCAGGTGCCCCAGGGACAGCCACGACGCCAGGACTGCCGCTCTGCTGTCGCCGTCCCACCTGTGTCCTGGCGCCAAGGGCCCTGGCCACCCACAGGTCCGTTCCAGGGCTGTTGTGTCTGTGTGTCAGTGCGTGGCCCGGGGGGGACCCGCCTGCTCTTGCTGTCCCGTGGCCCCATTTCCCTTGCTGGTTTGGCAGCTGCCTCACACTCACGGTTCAGCCCCAGGGCCGATCAAACCCTGACACAGATGCCCCTCAGCCCCATCTCCCTCTTGCCCTTTCCTGGCAGTTGGTGCTCGGACACCTAACCTCCCTTTTCCCAGGGTGCACTTTGCCATGGAGCCACCTTTGCAGACTTGCTGGCTCACCGTCATCTCCTTCGGAAACACCCTGCTCTAAGAGCTTCACTGCCCCAGCCACGGCTCCGACCCCAGCCACTCGCTGATGAAACAGGTCACAGGCAGCACTCAGAGGTCCCAGGCCTGCCCGGACTGCAGTGGGCCCGGGTCAGATCTCTTTCTGGACCTAATCGATCCTACTCCTTGCACCTGCATGTCTCTCTGGGCCCAGGTGACGTACCCAGGTGTTTCCACTGTGGTGTTTGCCACCTTGTCCTCCCCGCTCTTCTGAAACTCAGAGAAGCAGCTTGGGTTGCCAACATTGGCTGAATGGCCCTCGGTCTGCAGCGCCCGGGCGGGCTGCTTCCCTGGACCTGAGGCCTCCCCTCATCCCAGGTGGAGATGCTGTGTGAGCTCCCGCCCCTGGGTGACCCCAGCCCTTTGTCCGGGCAGAAGGGCTGCCCCCACTAAGTGTGGAGCCCCTTGCTTAGGCCTTAGGCTGCCAGCACCTCCACCCTCACTTCTGGGGGAGGTGGAAGTGCTGCAGGGAGACGGGAGGGGGTGCCTTGACCTAGGAAGGGAGGGGAGGCACCAGGCACCCAGGTTGTCTCCCTGATGGAGCCCCGTGGTTGAGAGGTGGGGACAGTGTCTCTGTCCTCTGCAGGATCAGCCCAGGTGAGGAGCTGGGGATGCGTGTCAGCACCACCTACAGACTCACCGTTTTACACACGATGGTCACACATGTCCAGACTCCTCATAGCATCCCTGTGACACAGTGAGCTCTGCACGCCCCATTTTGCAGGGAGGAAAACGAGGCTGGTGTTGTGCTCACAGGACACACACTCGCCAGAACGTGAAGGAGCAAACATGAGGTTTCTGGCTGCAGGTGGTGAGCAGTTTCCTGGTTTCCACTGTGTACCAGTGTATGTGTGGTGTGTGTGTGCGTGTGTGCATGTGTGCGTGCGTGCACATGTGCTGTATGTGATACGCATGGGTGTGTGTTGTGTGTGGTATGTGATATGTGTATTATATTTGTTATGCGTGCATGTGGTGTATGTGGTATGTGAGTGTTAGACTATAGTATGTGTGTGTGGTGAATGTGATATGCATGTGTGTTGGTATGTTTTGTATGTGGTGTGTATGTGTGGATGTGGTGGGTGTGATGTGTATGGTATGTGTGTGTGTGTGTTATAGTATGGTGTGTGTGTGTGGTATGTGTATATATTAGTGTGTGGTGTGTGTGATATGCATGTGTGTTGGTATGCTTTGTATGTGGTGTGTATGTGTGGGTGTGGTGGGTGTGATGTGTATGGTATGTGTGTGTGTGTTAGAGTGTGGTGTGTGTGTGTGGTATGTGTATATATTAGTGTGTGTGTGTGTGTTACAGGCAAATGTTCATTTATTTAATTTTCACTGTGTATCCTGCCCTGTTCTCAGCACTTAGCATTTATTAACTTATTTAATGATCACAACATTCCATGTGAAAGTAGCATGTCAACCTCATTTTCAGGAGAGGAAACTGAGGTACAGGGAATGTAAGCAAAACAAATAAACCAGCCGGCCATGGTGGCCTAGGTCAGATCCTGTAGTTCAGCCTCACATTTGCTAGTTAATAGCTGAGTCACTCATCCCTCTGGCCTCAGTTTCCTCATTGTTTCTCTTGTACATAATGATCATGAGGATTTAGTAGGCTAATTGATCCCAAGCACATCACAGTTGCTCAATGAAATAGCTTGTTATTTCTTGGGGGGTTTCATTCTGATCATGGTCTTTGTAGATTCCCATGGGCTTGTGGCAAATGGCCAGCAGATGGCAGGAGAGGGCCTTGGGAACAGCCTGGTTCCCTAACTTGCACCATCAGGCCTGTGGAGAGCTATGTTAACACCTATTGACTGAAACAAAGGGTCAGTGGTCAAAGGGGCATTGGAGAAGCACCAGAGGCAGCGGGGTTTGCAATCTAAAAAATCAAAGTGACAACAGAAATAAGAGAGCCAGCTTAGACGCCCAGTTCTAGGTGATGTGACCTGGGTGGAGTGGGTACATGTGACCTTGGGGTGGTACGCATGACCTTGGTGGAGTGGGTACATGTGACCTTGGAGTGGGTACACGTGACCTTGGTGGAGTGGGTACATGTGACCTTGGTGGAATGAGTACACGTGACCTGGGTGGAGTGGGTACATGTGACCTTGGGGTGGTACGCATGACCTTGGTGGAGTGGGTATATGTGACCTTGGAGTGGGTACACATGACCTGGGTGGAGTGGGTACACGTGACCTGGGTGGAGTGGGTACACGTGACCTGGGTGGAGTGGGTACATGTGACCTTGGAGTGGTACGCATGATCTTGGTGGAGTGGGTACACGTGACCTTGGTGGAATGAGTACACGTGACCTGGGTGGAGTGAGCACATGTGACCTTGGAGTGGGTATATGTGACCTTGGAGTGGGTACATGTGACCTGGGTGGAGTGGGTACACGTGACCTTGGTGGAGTGGGTACACGTGACCTGGGTGGAGTGGGCACATGTGACCTTGGAGTGGGTACACGTGACCTTGGTGGAGTGGGTACACGTGACCTGGGTGGAGTGGGTACACGTGATCTGGGTGGAGTGGGCACATGTGACCTTGGAGTGGGTATATGTGACCTTGGTGGAGTGGGCACATGTGACCTTGGAGTGGGTACACGTGACCTTGGTGGAGTGGGTACACGTGACCTGGGTGGAGTGGGTACACGTGATCTGGGTGGAGTGGGTACACGTGACCTTGGTGGAGTGAGCACATGTGACCTTGGAGTGGGTACACGTGACCTTGGTGGAGTGGGTACACGTGACCTTGGTGGAGTGGGTACACGTGACCTGGGTGGAGTGGGTGTGTACTGACTGTCTGCGCTGAGTTCCTCTGAAAGGGGAGAATAAGTTACACCTCAGAGCTGTTGCTGGGCTTGGGGAGATTGACAAAGCTGAGACACAGGGCTCTGTGCGTGGTGGGGTCAGGGGACCGTGCAAACGAGCTCCTTCCTCCCCTTACTCGGCCTGGGCAGCTTTCCCAGACTCCATCTAGCCCCGTCCAGGGAGGTGGGGTCCCCACCCAGAAGCTCTGCAAGCCCAGGGCAGGGGTGCCCTTTGGCTGGAGGAGGGGGACAGGGTGATGGAGTGAGGAATGTGGGTTCTATGGCCAGGCGATCCCTAAGGGGATCCAGTGGGATTCTCCTGGGAGCCAAAGGTCCTTCGACACTGGGGCCACGGGGTCACCTCCTTTCTGCTTGATCCCCCAGTTCTGGGCTCCCGAGCTCAGAGGCAGACCATGCACAGCCGAGACAACATAAAGTCCTTCCTTGGATCCCTTCATCCGCCTCTCTGCCTGCAGGCTCGACCCAATCCCGTTTCTGCCCTGGAGCTGCTTGGCTGACTCCTTTGTCTCCTGGCAGCTCTTCCTAGGCTGTGCTTCTATCCCATCTTCTGGGTTTTCCTGTTGGGGTGAGTGGGGGTCCACCCAGGGGCAGGCTGGGTCAGGCATGTGCTCCTCTCTGGGGCATGCTTGGTCCAGGGGAGACACGTGGTATGCACAAACTGAAAAAGTACCGTGACCCAGACTGTAAGAGAGGCTCACCTAAGTGCTCAGAGAGCCAGAGAGAGGAGGGCCATTCCTGAAGGTGTTGAACCAAGAAGGACTGGCAGGCAGGCAGGAGAAGGGCCTGAGCCGGCGGAGGGGCAGGGCCCGGCAAGTGTAACAGCAAGTGATTTCCTCTGGAGCTGGGGCCTGGGACGGGCATGGGCAGTGCCTGTGGTCTGAGGCCAGACTGTGGCTCTTTAAATAGCAGGCTCCACGGGCTGGGCAGGGGGTGGGGGCCCTCGGGTGCTGGGAGCAGCTGAGTGATGTGTTCAGATGGGCATCTCAGAAAGCTCCCTGCCCTCAGGCAGAGGGTAGGAGGCTTTGGCGATATTGGCTAAGACTGCCTGGCGGAGGAGAGGTGGTGGCGGAGGTACAGGACCTGCTCCGGGCGCTCCTGGCCTCCCCTCCCCCAGCACACCGCCAGCCTCCAGTTCCTTTGTGGGTCTGGCTTGAAGCAAAGTTCTGGCCGTGGCTCCTAACGGTGTGCTTGGGTGCCTCTGTTCGCCTGCCTGCAGGCAGGGCACCGGGAGAGGGGCATGCCCTGCTGTCGCATGATGGCCTTCTTCCGGGTGGAGGAAGCAGCAGCGTGAGATGGTCAAGGTGACCACAGGACACTGGGGCGGGAAGCTCTCTGGGCGAGCCAGCCCAGCTGCCCCACAGGGCGGTCCCACCACATGCTGTAGACTGCAGCAGGCCCCGCACAAGTCTTGCGACTGTGCACAGCATTCCTCAAGGTAGGGACTGTCAGCCCCACATTATCATGAAAAAGTTCCAACCAGCGCCCGGGGGGTGAGCACCT